CACACCCTGCACTGGAGCTTGCAGAGAAGCAGGAAAACCATACCCAGTTCCCACTCATCTGCTGTGACTGATGGCAGCTCTCCACCTCCTGGGCAACACAGGAAGTGGAGTGATACCAGCCAGATAAGGAAACCTGTCTCTGTGCCCGTAAACATCAAAGGAAGGGACTAAACCAGAAGGCAGATCTTCCTGAAGCATCTCCTTGATGGCTTCCTTGGTGGGTCAGTCCTTGGGGATCAGCCTGTGCTCATAGGTGGTGGTTTCTCCTCCAGGACTGCATCATCTGCATGGAGAAGCTTTCCTCCCCGTCTGGCTACAGTGACACGTGTGAGTCCAGCACCATCAGGCCAGAGGCTGTTGGACGCCTGAGGAGCTGCCAGCACTCCTTCCACATGCTCTGCATGCTGGCCATGTACTCCAATGGGAACAAGGTACCCAGCTGGCCCATCCCCACCAGGTCCCCTGTGCCCAGGTCACTGGGCTGTGGAGCTCTGATCCTGACTTCTCTCTCCTGGCAGGATGGCAGTTTGCAGTGTCCCTCCTGTAAAACCATCTACGGAGAGAAAACCGGGACCCAGCCCAAAGGGAAGATGGAGATCTCCACTTTCCCTCAGTCCCTCCCTGGCCACAAGGACTGTGGGACAATCCAGATTGTGTATCACATCAGCAGAGGCATCCAGGTGAGTGCACAGCATGCTGATGGATATAGCACAAGCTGTGAAAGCCTCCCAGAAAAGTTCTGGGATCCAGTACAGTGCCTGCTGGCAGCCCATCACCGAGCAGCCTACGGTGCCTGGAGCCAGCAGCTGCACCAGCTGTTCTTCAGTGTGTATGGGTCTCCTCCATCAAAGATCTTTTTCTGAGCAGCCCCAGATTTTACAGCAGCTCTTCACCTGCAGTAAGGAACTAATGTCTGCCTGAAACAGGGAGGAGATTCTGCCCATGCTCACAAGGTGGGAGAGATCCCAATGTGTGGCTTCACAGCCCACGCTGGTTTCAGCAGTGGCAGTGAGCTTGCAAAGGTTTGAGCTGTGTGGGTTTTTTTAAGGTGTCATATGACCACGTGGAAAAAGCTGTGGTTTGAGGCTGTCTCCCACCAGAATATAATGAGATTTTAGATCTGGCTTTGTATCCCAGCATGAGACTGCTCTTGGAAGACCTGTAATGCTCACATGTCCCATAAGAACAAGTCAGATACCTTGTGCTCATCAGCTGCCTTTTACATGGAAGAGCTGGTTTGAGATGAGCCTATGTCAGATCCTCCTGCTGAGGAATTGCCCAACTCCTGTGAAGATGGGTGTGTCCATGCCAAATATGTCTCCTCCCTTGCAGGGCCCCGAGCACCCCAACCCTGGGATGCCATACACGGCCAGAGGCTTTCCTCGCTATTGTTACCTGCCAGACAACGAGAAGGGCAGAAAGGTAAGGCACTGTACCCTGATGATGTCACCCTTCTCGTGTTATCTCATGGCACTGAGCTTGTCAAGCTTCTGGCAGTCTCTTTTCATGGCTCAAGTCTCCTGCCTTTGGTTTTCCTTTTCCCCTCTAGGTCCTGGAGCTCCTGAAGGTGGCCTGGAAGAGACGCCTGATTTTCACCGTGGGCACCTCCAACACCACCGGCGAGAGCAACACGGTGGTGTGGAACGAGATCCACCACAAGACTGAGATGGACTCAAACCTGAGTGGCCATGGCTACCCTGACCCCAACTACCTGGACAATGTGCTGGCAGAGCTGGCTGCCCAGGGGGTCACTGAGGACTGCTTGGGACAGTGAGCCGTGGGGGCCTGGCTGTGCCGTGCACACCTCGGGGGCCCACCTAGTGCACTTATTCCTGATGCCTTAAGTTCCTGTGTCTGACCACCCGGCACACTGAGCAATAACAGTTCTGTGGGAGCCCTGCCTGCTCTTCACGTTTTTGGGGGGAGGGAAGGATATTTTTGTAGAAGCTGCACTTGTGTTTCTGGGTGGGATTGATGGCCACGGCCAGGAGCAGCTGGGACAGCAGTCCTGAGGTGACAGGTCCCCTGGGGAAGGCAGGACCTTCCTCTGGTAATGCTTGGGGACAGGATGGGGAGACGGGAGTGCCTTGCTCCCACTAAACCACTTGGAAAGCAAATGGGGGCCTCCCTCTAGTGAACAGCAGCTCCCTGAGGCACCTCCTGCCCTGTATCTCTGCTCAGTCCCAATAAACTGTTCATTTTCACAGCCAGTCCCTGCCTCTGCCTTCCTGCTGCCTCAGGGCTTGGGGTATCTCACCCTTAGTGTCCCTCTCTAGGGGACCAACCTGATCCATGGAGCCTCATTCCAGCCAGGACAAAGGAGGGGAAGCTCAGCTCAGCTGGAGGGACACAGATCTCAGTGAAGGCAGGACACAGAGTGCTGGTCCCAGGGTTGTGGTTCCAGCCTGTCGGTGCTTTGGCTGCTGGATCCTGGTGGTCTGTGGCCATGGTGCCAGCAGAGGTGACCCATCACTGCCCACCCTGCACAAAGTTGCAGTCCCCTGCTCTTGCCATGAGCTGCCAGCCTCACTCCTCACCAACCCTTCTGGCAGACCCTGTCCCTCTTTTCTCCTTCTCTCAGGTGAAATGGCAGCGATTGGGGGCTGTTTGTGCACGGTGAAGCCTCTGCAGGGAGGGGCTGCTGTGCTTTGTGCTGCTGCTGCAGGGATGCTGGTGCCACCAGCTGGTGACAGTCACCTTCCTCCCGCGGTGGTGGCAGCCAGCCCAGCTGCCAGCAGTGATGCTTTTCACCTGGGACCACACTCCTGGTACTCCCAGCACCTTGGAAGTGGGATATTGCCCCAGTTCTGGTGGCCTTGCAGTACAGTGTCCTCAGGCTCAGAGCTGATGTCTTTTGAAGAGCTTGTTTCTGGCTGTTCCCCTCCCTGTGGCCACTGGACCCAGCTGCACATTGAAATCATCCCTTTGGCAATGGTGCCATCTGCCATTTCACCTCCTTCCTGGGAAATCTGGGATGTGGCTGGACTTTGTGGCAGCTCTGCCTTGGCATCTGCCTGGGACCAGCATGTCCTGGACCAGCAAATGGGCATCTTTCTTCCTGCCATTATAATATAAATATTAAAGGTGTCTTAGAGCCTTTCAGGGCAGGTGCTTTCCCTAAGGTCCATCTTGTGCTTGCAGGCTCTAGGGGGAAACCCCTCAACCAGCCTGTGAAATTTGGGGATGCTGCAGGACTGGCAGTTCCTTGGGAGCTACAGCTCTGTGTGTGGTGCTGAGCTCTACTCAAACGGGCTCTGTCTGTTCTTCTCCCACCCTGGTTGCGAAAGGGAGAGGTTTTGAGTTCAAACTCCATCTTTGTATCCCTGGATCATGTTCTCACAGCAATCAAAACAGTGAAATGAAGCGAAAATTGAGCAGAGTTCACCCAGCCCTGTACAAAGCAAGAATTTCCTGCTGAGCCTTGCCCAAGGCACCTCCAGCAGCTGCTCCAAGGTGTGAATCAGCTGCATCTGGGCTGGTCCAGGGCTGTGGCACTGGACTGGGAGCTGGTCAGGCTCAGCAGCTCATCCCTGGCTGTCACAGCTTTGGACATGAGGCATCTCCTAAAATCCTTGCCCTATCTGTGCTGAGCCTGGGACTGTCCCTGTGGCAGGGGAGCCAAGGGGTGGAAAGGAGCAGAACCAGGAGCTCAGACAGTGGTTTGCAGGGAGCTGCTTTGAAGCAGTGGAGTGAAAGCACAGCCATAACGCCGTGGTGCCCATTGGAGCACAGAGAAGGAGGACAGAACCTGAAGAACAGAACCCTGGATGGGTTGACCAAAAGACTTGTGCGCTCCATCCCCGGCTGGAGCCCCGGGGAGGGTGGGGTCTCTCCCGGCCCCCCGCGGTGGTGCCTCATCTGCCGCAGGGTGGTTATTTTTAGCCCAGCCGTGACCCCGCAGCTATGCTGGGTACCGGCAGCTGAAACTGTGACTCACTGTCCCCCTGCGTCACCCACTCTGCCCCTCGCCCCGCCAGGAGTGCCAGGGTGGGGTCTGGGGGGGGCGGGTGGAGGGTTGGCAGGGTCCCCAGGGTAGGTATTGCTGGGTCGGAGCGGGGAGTAAGTCAGGGATCAGAGGGAGGAGGGGTGGAAGCTGCAGCTGCGCCTGTTTTTCCCCTCTGCAGCTGGACGGTGTAATCTTTGAATGCCCCATTTCCACTTAATCTGAAGGCGTTGTCTTGGCCCCTCGGGAAGGGGGAGGAAATCCCCTCCCACGCAGGAGTGGGCGGCCGCTGCCCTTGGCAAACACGGGAGAAGGAGCACTCCAACCCCTTTGCGTGGGGAGTGGCGGCGGGGGGCTCCCGAGCCGCGGGGCAGCTCCCGCTTCAGGGCGGTGTCCCTGGCCCCATCCAGAGGGCTTGGGGAGCCTTTCCCTAGGAAGGGGGAAGGATGGATGGGGAAATGCCAGCGTGGGGTGGCCCCAGAGCTTGGTGCTTCCGTGCCCCCGGTGCTGGGTGGGACCGTTCGCCTGATCGCTGGGGTTTGGGTGGGTTCGGGTGTGATGCTCTGGAGCGCTTCCCTGCCCGCGGGGCAGGGCTGGCTGCACCCGAACCAGTCGGGCACGGGCTCATCCCTGGCTCCCGGTGGGCACGGGGAACCCGCAGGGAGTTGGGTTTAGGTGGGGTGAGAGGGGGTGCGGGACCTCTTGCCCAGCTGTCCCCATAGCACCAACACTGACTCCCGCCAACCCATCCCGGAGGCTCCGGTGCCTCCTCCGTGCCTCAGTTTCCCCTTTCACATCACAGGCTTGTGCCCCGGTTCCTCGCAGCCTTCGGGGTCCTGCAGGACCGAGGGATGACCCGGGTGGCTCAGTTGTTCCCCCCTGCCCGCGGGGTCCTGCCAGGCCGGCAGAGCCGGTGCAGGAATGTGGGGCTGGGAGGGTCCGGCTCCTCGGGACGGGCGGTCCCCGCTGCGGGGGCACTGGGGGCAGTTCGTCCCCTCGGCAGTGGGACGGGGTGAGCGGAGCAGAGAGGCACATCCAACCCTAGCAGGAGGACGCCATGGAGCTGCCGTGGGTGCTGCTGGCGCTGGCGGGGACGGGCACAGCCGCGGGCCTGGGTGACTCTCTGGGGGACAGGGCAGAGGGGGATGGGGGTCTGGAGAGCCAGGAAGGGGGTTATGGGGCTGGGCATGGCTGGGGGGGTCCCCACACCAGTGTTGTCACCCTGCTGCTGACACTGCTGGCACCCCGTGAGCTCCCCCTGTGCCAACACCGGCACTCGTGGGCCCTCTCACGGGTGGGGGCCGGGGTCAGTCACTTGCTGAGCGGAGCAGAGCAGGGGGTCCCTCCCTCACCGTCCACTCCCCCAGCCCGGCTGCCCTACGTGCCCCGCGTGCCCCCCGTGGCACTGCTGGGGAAAGTCACTGCCACCACCTTCGCACTGGAGAGACCCTGCTGCATCTTCGACGGGCACGCCAGCGCCTCGGACACTGTTTGGCTGGCGGTGGCTTTTGCCAACGGTGAGCACCCGCTGCCCTGACGCATCTTCCCGTGGCAGGGGGGGTGGGGGACCCTCACCACAGCCGCTCGCCCTCCATCTGTGCCGTGCAGCATCAGCCACCTTCAGGAACCCCCCATCCCGGGCTGACGTGCCCCCGTACAAGCAGCTGCCCACCACGCACTCCTACATGACTCTGGAGACGGCGGCGGCCGCGTACGCCTGCCCAGCCCCGAGCCCGGCCGTGCTGCGGGTCGGGGGTGACACGGCGTGCAAGGACCAGGGCAGGCAGGACCCTTGCAACGGGCCCCTGCCCTCCCCAGGGCCCTACAGGTAAGGCCAGAACCCTCGAATCCCAGCTCCGGTAACTCCCCACCCAGGGTGTGCTCTCCCCCCCCGGTGTCACTCCCGTACCCATCGCAGGGTGAAGTTCCTGCTGATGGGCTGCCACGGCCCCAAAGCGGAGACGCACTGGTCCGACCCCATCCTCCTGCACAGAGGTACCGGTGGCACTGCCATCCCCCCGTGGGTCCCCACACCTGCCTGGTGGCACTGCCATCCCCCAGTGG